GGCGCGGCGGAGCGGCTGCGACAGGAAGCAGAGTGACCGCTGACTGGACCCCTGGCCCCTGCGGGTCCTGGAGACGTCCCCTGCCCATCCTGGAGAAGTGCCCCCCCTCCTTAGACACTTGGTGGCAGCACCCCCGACCCTCCCTCCGCCAAGATGGCGCAGCAGCCAAGGCCACAAAGCGGACGCCCTGGAAGGTGCCCACGCTTCTCTGGCCCCCTCCCCACGGAGCCCCTCTACCCCCACCTGGCTGGCCGGGCGGCCGCTGCGGCTCCCCCGAGGCATCTCGGCGGCGGCGGGATGCAGGCGGGATGATTCCGAGACCGCGGCGGCGGCACTTCGGTCTCGGGGACAAACGCGGCAGCACCTCTAACAGCGGGCGAAAAGGGGTGGGCGGGGGCAGGGCCTCTGGGACACGCCCCCAATGAGAAGCTTGGGCACGGGGCGTCCCTCCCCCTACGCTTGTTCTTTGACCTCTCCCTTCTAGCATTCCCCAGTATGAACGCCTTCCCCTGCTGGGAACGTGACCCTGCGGCCTCCCTGCGCCCAGGGCCGAGATGTGTGGGCCTTAGGGACTAGGGGCAATGTCGCAAAGCGCTGAGGGCTTATGCAGGGGCGACAGAGCCAGTCCTTCTGACAGGGAGTGGAGTAGAGTAGGGAGCTATCGAGAGGGCACAGGGAGCAACGGTCTGAGGTCAGCTGAGCAGGCTGGGTCCCGCTCCCTCCTCCTGGAGACGAGGTTTGCCGACCACAGTATGGTCTGGGTCTCGGGTGGATACAGCGGGGACGAGAGGACCTGGAGAGGGCCAGTGACCTGTTGCCAGAAGCACCACCAGGTGGTGTCCCGGCCCGCTTTCCTTGGGCAGTGCCCGCCGGGGGCACGTGAAGCCCCCCTGCGCGACGCTCAACCCATTGACCCGGGCCCACCCCGCCTGGGTCCCCGGCCAGCGGATGCGGCGCCGGGTGCTGGCAGCGTTTCCGCTGCTTTTCTGCGGTTTCCACTACAAAGGCCCTGGAGGCCCTAGATGCGCTGGCTTGGCTCCAGTCGAACAGAGCGCAGGTGTGGATCCCGTGGCCTCCATATTTCAGCACCTGGGTCTTGGGACTAGGGGCGGAGGAGCAGCGGAGTGAGGGAAGAATCTGACGCTTCCCTGCCCTCCGGAAACTAGCGGTTTTTATGCGTCTTTTCCAGGTAATTTTCCAGTTGTCATTATTACCTTTGGGAAGAGCTGATTTCTTTATCTCCCCTTATCATTGTGTCCCAAGGTCCCTAGGTGGCAGAAACGGTTTTCACTTGTCTGCTAAAGGTTGGCGATTCAAACCCACCCAGTGTCACCGTGGAAGAAAGGGCTGGCAATCTGCTTCTGTAAAGATTACAGCCTAGAAAACCCTGTGGAGCACAGTTCTACTCTCTAACACATGGGGCCCTTTACAGCAATGGATTTTTTATTACTGTGTCCAGTGTGCCCATGGGATGCTTTATGCACTGAGATTATGGGTGGAGGGGGAGTGGCTGTGTGCCTTTGAGAGTGGGGTGGCATCTTGGTTAGAGCAGCTCTGTTCTGGATCCCCTGCCAGAGGGTTGTGGGCATGGTGGCAGGAGTTGTTGTCAGGTGCCAAAGAGTCCATTTCAACTCATAGCGACCCCATGTGATGGAGTGGAACTGCCCCATAGTGTTTCTAGACTGTAAATCTTTACAGAAGCAGATTGCCAGGTCTTTCTCCCATGGAGCCACTGGGTAAATTAGAACTGCCAATCTTTCCATTAGCAGCCAAGGGCGCCACCTGCCTCCTTGGGGGCAGGAAGGAGGGTGAAATTTCCAGGAGCAAAAGCATTTCACGGGGGTGTGGGGTACTAGTCACAAGCAGGGAGAGGAGACCCCCCTCTGGAGAAAAGGCAGCTGCTGGTTCTGAGTTTGGCTCTGCCAGGATGTGCTCAGTTTAATTGTGCACAAAGCACACCTCGGTGCTAATCATGTGTATGTACCAAGTTCTTAATGCACTTTATCCTCTCAGCAAGCCTGTGAAGGAGGGATTGTCCGTGACCCCTGTCAGGGCTTGGACCTCAGTTTTCTCTTCTTTGAAGTATGGTGACAGCACCCACCTCCAAGTGGGGGCCTCTCCAATGACCCAAAGCATGTCAAAGGCAAGCATTGTGACCAACTTGGCCATTCTCTCTGCACAGATTACAGGTCTAGTCCAGCCTCTACTCCTTTGCTTCTGCAATCCCTGCCCACCTGGTTATCATTTGCCAAACTGGAACCATCCTTTGAGGCTTATCAGGGTCCTCCTCCTACAGGAAGCCCTCTGTGACCAGCCTACCTGGCTGCACACACTGTTGGCTTGTAACTGTGGCCCCTAGGGCCTGCACTGTGAGTCGCTGTTACTTCAGCACCCAGGACTCTGGAATACAGGTTCCCGAAAGCTTGGTAGGGCATCCCTGGAGGCACATGAGACAGGTTAAGGTAGTGATATAAATGAATGTTTTTATTTAATAACTATATGTGTTAAAAAATGTGTAATTAGTTCACCAAACCCATGATTTCTTGGCCAATATTGCTAAAAACAAGGCTAAACTGAGCATTTAAAATTTGAAAAGTGAGTCACTTTAAAGAGAAAGATTGCTGAGGTGGGGTCATCATACACTTCCTGTGGTCGCTCTTACAACAAGACACAAAAAAAAAAAAAAACAGTGAACCGATTATATATGACAATCTAGGAACCTTGAACCTCAAAGACAAAGTTGAGGAGTCTGAGTGGCAGTGGGAGGAAGAGATAGTTCAGAAGCAGTAAGGATTTGCCAGACCTGACCTGGCCTGTACCCTGCAGGCTAGATCGGCCAGTGCACGCGGGCTGAGGCAAACAGTAGCACTCAGGACGCATTTTCCACATAGGGAGAAACTGAGCGGAACTAGGGAGAAGCAGCACTGAATTGGCAAAAGTTAAGTACAAGTGTCTAACCTCTCAAGCGGGATCCAAAAAACCCTTCCCCCCTCTGGGAAGTACCTCTCTCCCATTTACCCATCCCCTCCTCTCTCTGCTCTGGTCCTGTTTCAGCTTCAGTGATTGCTGCCCACTCTGGGCTGGAAGTGGGACCCATCGTGTGCCCAGACCCATTCTCCCGGCTTTAAAGAGGGAGCAAGTTTAACAAACAAGAAAAACTAATCTGCCAGCTGCCGTAAGCCAGGAACTCAGGGCAGGCACAGCCTCTTTGCCTAGGCACAAGCATAAGGGGTCCATGGACTCTGAATGCCTTTCACTACTGCCTAGATCTGTGGGGGCCCATTTCAACAGCGTAGGCCCTCATTAGCACAGTACAACAGGGTATATACCTGAAGCCTATTTTCAACTGCAACAGTTAAGGGGCAGTGGCAGATTTGTGACATTTGACACTGCCCTGCCCACAAAGCAGGGATCTCACCTATCCACATCAGGGGCCTGAGGACTAGTGGATCCACCTAAGACAGGGGTCTGAGAATAAGTGGTGCCTCCCAGTCCTTACAGCCAACAGCGTTGGGTATCCCAAATCCGGCTGCAAAACCCACCCACCTACGTGCTTTAGGGAACAGGGACACACCTTTCA